AACTGTCCCTTTTTGGACCAACAATTGTTTGATTCCATCAATCAATCAAACTGGTTAATCAAATTGGAGAAGTCCTTCCTCAGACCTACTCAATATCTCATACACTTGGGGTCTTTTTTCACACTCGTATCAGTCAGGCCAGCATTTTCCTGTCAGATTTTGTTCTCTAGACTTGTTAGTTTACGATGTTCTCTCGATTTCATTACTTACTGCTTGCAAGGTTTTACCACCTTTGGTGATGTGGTCTTCAATGCCATCACTAGCCCCTCTTGGTTATGGTCATATAAGATCCCTTCAGTTGGCTCTTCCTGATCTATACAGCCTTGCATGGGATCTTTTTTTCTCTTCCCATTACCTTTCCCCTTACCAGGCGAGAAGATTTGCTTTGGTGGCTGGACGAGGCACATACTTCAGAGGGTGTGCCACTTCCTCCTCGAGTCTGGATCTACATCCTTTCAGGACATATCCCTGCTGGGCCGGGGTGCATGGACCAGCCACCAGGAAACTTTGGGCCATTAGTCTGTGGACAAAAGTGCTTTACACATCAGTGTTCTCGAATTTCTCGCGGTTTGGCGGTAATTGCATCACTTCCTTCTTCTCACCTGATATTCTCTGGTGGTGGTTCGTTCCGACAATTCTATGGGGGTGTAACATATGTATCACTAAGGGGGCACATGGTCGAGAGATCTATGTTTTCGGCCTTGGGATCTTGTATTGGGCCCACATGCTAAACATTCATCTCATCGTGTGTCAAGTGCCTGACACTTTCACTCTTCTTGTGGATTGTCTTTTTTTCCTCCATATGGATGTACCTGACAGAGTGGTTCTTAGATCTTCTTGTTTTCAGTGAGCTTTGCACATGGTGGGGATCTCCCCATGTGGATGCATTTGCTATGAAACGTAATTCACAAGTCTTTAAGTCCCTGGTTCCTCAGGCTCTGGCAGTAGATGCCTTCAGCCAAGATTGGTACCACTAATGTCTTTGTATATTCTTCTATGCAGTTACTTCAGCTGGTGATCTCTCTCATCTATTCCACTCCATGTTGGGTCCTTCTGATTGTTCCTTATTGGCCAGTTCAACCTTGATTTCCATGATTACAGCACCTGCTACTCTCCCTACATTCTTTGTCAACCTCAGTTGCAGGTCTTCCACCCTGACCTTCACATCCTGCTTTTTCATGCATGGCTTTTCTGCAGCTCTTGGCAAGGAGTTCTGATTTCTCATGTCGAGTTGTTTTCTTTTTAGCTCCATATATCCTTCTTTCAGGGAGGTGTATCAGCACAAGTGGAAGGTGTTCTGCAGTTGGGTTACAACTCTGGGATTTCTCGCTGACCACCTACTGTGGCTTAGGTGGCAGATGTTTTCACTTGGTTTTTAACTGGGGATCCTTGGTCTCTTCACTTTCTGGTTATATGGTGGCTTTATCCCATACTTTTCGTTTTTTCTCCTACCAAAGCATTGTTACTTCACCTGTCTTTGCCATGTTTCTGTGTTCTTTCCAGTTGCATCACCCTCCCAGATTGGGATGTTAATGTGGCACTCCATTCCCTCAATTTAACTCTGTTTGAACCACTTTTTTTGTGTTCCATGTTTCACCTTTTCTTTCAATCCTATTTCCTTCTTCTCTTAGCCTGTGGGGCATTAATAATCAGATTTGTTTGCCTTTGAAGTTTTAGTACACCTTATCACCCTACCTATCTTCTTTATGTGGACCATTCCTTC